AGCTTTCTGATTGCATCAACATCATCAACCAATGTATATACCCTTAAGGCATTTTGTTATTCGCATTAAACAAAACAAAACATGCTAACTAGTAAGAATCTTTTGCCACCTTTGCATCAAATGTCACGATGACCCAACTTGCCTATACTTAATGGCCTTGTTAATCTGTTTGACAGCAGTAATCCCCAGATAGGAATGCGTGTCTACTGTAACCTACAGAATGTGATTAACAAGGCATATGTGTAACCTAAGCATGAAGCATTAATGACTGAATCATGCTACATGTCTCAGTGAGCTGTGAAGCTGTAGGACATGTGATTGCTGTCTACCCCAGGGCCGTTGCCTGATCACGCCCACTTGAATTCCATAAGTTCTCACTTGCACTATATTGAAGGGTATGTTCTAGTACGTCACTTGTATAGACCTGCAGGGGATGTTTACTCTGCTCTTTGGTACTTTCCTTGACCTGTTAATGTTGGTGTTATGATGGTGTACATGCTTGTGGAAACTTGTGATCTTAGAAATTGAGAAGACATTGTGTTTTGTAGTTTTTGAATGTTGGACAACCCCTTTGTCCTATGTGGCTTTAGTCTACTCTTATAAATATGATAAGCAATGAATTTTTTTGTACGCATGATAAATGTTTGTTCTTTTAACAAAGTATATTGATTTGAAAGTATGATAAGAAGGAAAAAAATAAGTGGACTTTTAAATAGGCCAGACTGAAGATTGACATTGAGCTGCTGTGTCTAGTACCTATGTTAAGGGACTGTTGTAAAGATAGCAGAGTGTGCCATGTATGTTACCTATGTTAGGGGACTGTTGTAGAGATAAGAGAGTGTGCCATGTACGTTACCTATGTTAGGGGACTGTTGTAGAGATAGCAGAGTGTGCCATGTACGTTACCTATGTTAAGGGACTGTTGTAAAGATAGCAGAGTGTGCCATGTGCGTTACCTATGTTAGGGGACTTGTAGAGATAGCAGAGTGTGCCATGTAGGGGACTGTTGTAGAGATAGCAGAGTGTGCCATGTACGTTACCTATGTTAGGGGACTGTTGTAGAGATAGCAGAGTGTGCCATGTACATTACCTATGTTAGGGGACTGTTGTAGAGATAGCAGAGTGTGCCATGTACATTACCTATGTTAGGGGACTGTTGTAGAGATAGCAGAGTGTGTCATGTATGTTACCTATGTTAGGGGACTGTTGTAGAGATAGCAGAGTGTGCCATGTACATTACCTATGTTAGGGGACTGTTGTAGAGATAGCAGAGTGTGCCATGTACATTACCTATGTTAGGGGACTGTTGTAGAGATAGCAGAGTGTGCCATGTACATTACCTATGTTAGGGGACTGTTGTAAAGATAGCAGAGTGTGCCATGTACGTTACCTATGTTAGGGGACTGTTGTAGAGATAGCAGAGTGTGTCATGTACATTACCTATGTTAGGGGACTGTTGTAGAGATAGCAGAGCGTGCCATGTACATTACCTATGTTAGGGGACTGTTGTAGAGATAGCAGAGTGTGCCATGTGCGTTACCTATGTTAGGGGACTGTTGTAGAGATAGCAGAGTGTGCCATGTACATTACCTATGTTAGGGGACTGTTGTAGAGATAGCAGAGTGTGCCATGTGCGTTACCTATGTTAGGGGACTGTTGTAAAGATAGCAGAGTGTGCCATGTACATTACCTATGTTAGGGGACTGTTGTAGAGATAGCAGAGTGTGTCATGTATGTTACCTATGTTAGGGGACTGTTGTAGAGATAGCAGAGTGTGCCATGTACATTACCTATGTTAGGGGACTGTTGTAGAGATAGCAGAGTGTGCCATGTACATTACCTATGTTAGGGGACTGTTGTAGAGATAGCAGAGTGTGCCATGTACATTACCTATGTTAGGGGACTGTTGTAGAGATAGCAGAGTGTGCCATGTGCGTTACCTATGTTAGGGGACTGTTGTAGAGATAGCAGAGTGTGCCATGTACATTACCTATGTTAGGGGACTGTTGTAGAGATAGCAGAGTGTGCCATGTATGTTACCTATGTTAGGGGACTGTTGTAGAGATAGCAGAGTGTGCCATGTACATTACCTATGTTAGGGGACTGTTGTAGAGATAGCAGAGTGTGTCATGTACATTACCTATGTTAGGGGACTGTTGTAGAGATAGCAGAGTGTGCCATGTACATTACCTATGTTAGGGGACTGTTGTAAAGATAGCAGAGTGTGCCATGTATGTTACCTATGTTAGGGGACTGTTGTAGAGATAGCAGAGTGTGCCATGTATGTTACCTATGTTAGGGGACTGTTGTAAAGATAGCAGAGTGTGCCATGTACGTTACCTATGTTAGGGGACTGTTGTAGAGATAACAGAGCGTGCCATGTACGTTACCTATGTTAGGGGACTGTTGTAGAGATAGCAGAGCGTGCCATGTACATTACCTATGTTAGGGGACTGTTGTAAAGATAGCAGAGTGTGCCATGTGCGTTACCTATGTTAGGGGACTGTTGTAGAGATAGCAGAGTGTGCCATGTACATTACCTATGTTAGGGGACTGTTGTAGAGATAGCAGAGCGTGCCATGTACATTACCTATGTTAGGGGACTGTTGTAGAGATAGCAGAGTGTGCCATGTACATTACCTATGTTAGGGGACTGTTGTAGAGATAGCAGAGTGTGCCATGTACATTACCTATGTTAGGGGACTGTTGTAGAGATAGCAGAGTGTGCCATGTACATTACCTATGTTAGGGGACTGTTGTAGAGATAGCAGAGTGTGCCATGTACATTACCTATGTTAGGGGACTGTTGTAGAGATAGCAGAGCGTGCCATGTACATTACCTATGTTAGGGGACTGTTGTAGAGATAGCAGAGTGTGTCATGTATGTTACCTATGTTAGGGGACTGTTGTAGAGATAGCAGAGTGTGCCATGTACATTACCTATGTTAGGAGACTGTTGTAGAGATAGCAGAGTGTGCCATGTACGTTACCTATGTTAGGGGACTGTTGTAAAGATAGCAGAGTGTGCCATGTACATTACCTATGTTAGGGGACTGTTGTAGAGATAGCAGAGTGTGCCATGTACGTTACCTTGTTAGGGGACTGTTGTAAAGATAGCAGAGTGTGCCATGTACGTTACCTATGTTAGGGGACTGTTGTAAAGATAGCAGAGCGTGCCATGTACGTTACCTATGTTAGGGGACTGTTGTAGAGATAGCAGAGTGTGCCATGTACGTTACCTATGTTAGGGGACTGTTGTAAAGATAGCAGAGTGTGCCATGTACGTTACCTATGTTAGGGGACTGTTGTAAAGATAGCAGAGTGTGCCATGTACGTTACCTATGTTAGGGGACTGTTGTAGAGATAGCAGAGTGTGTCTTGTATGTTACCTATGTTAGGGGACTGTTGTAGAGATAGCAGAGTGTGCCATGTACATTACCTATGTTAGGGGACTGTTGTAGAGATAGCAGAGTGTGCCATGTACGTTACCTATGTTAGGGGACTGTTGTAGAGATAGCAGAGCGTGCCATGTACATTACCTATGTTAGGAGACTGTTGTAGAGATAGCAGAGCGTGCGAACCCCATCCCTCTTACGCCATGTACACAGTGTGTGTGCTGAACTGCATCCTTCAGATGTTTCAGTGATTACAAATATTGATGCATCTTGTGGACTCATTTGCGTACAGCAGTGTGTAAATGACACTCAATAGAATAGGTCTCGCAAACTCTAGGCTTGCTGTAGGGATTTCTGGGCTTGTTCTTGATCCAAACTGTTAAGACCCTTGTAGGAAGGAAGTATGAGAGATGTATATTGACTTACTTATTACTAATATTAATTTCCTTGTTATATTGATACAGGGTTCAATCCAGGAATTCACTGACATGGGGCCTTTATTAGAAAAAATTAAATATTCCAGAGGTACAACCACACTTGCCAATACAGCACAATGCTAAAATGGCCCATTGTCTTCGAAAATGTGGGCCTTTTATTCAAATTTAGGGGCTAAAAGCACAAGGCCACACTGTAGAATTATGCCTGTTGATATCTTTGTACAGTCAAGTCCCGTTAATCCGTCATTGTTGGTTGCATATGGTTAGGTCGGATAAACAAAATTAGGTAGTATCAATGTTCGTGATCGAAAATTGGACAGCTTTCAAAATACTTTTTAAAGCATACCTTGGAATGGAAGTCGCTAATTTGAAACTAGTGACGCAATGCTTAAGAAAGCAAATGTTGGCATCCTGTCAGTAATTTCATTGGTCGGTCAAAGTTCCCGAAAGGTCGTTCTGACATGACCTGTAATGGGATGTCTTAAGCGGTAGTGAGAACTTGTATCTGATTTTAATGAGATTGAGGTTGTCTAGGCATGTGATTAATCCTGTTTTGTTTATTTAAAGCATTATTTGTTTATTGTTAAGCAAGTTTATCTCTGCAGCTGTTGAAATATGCAGCTGCTCGCTGACTTGTCTTGCATCAAAACATGGGTCTGTGTACTCGCGGGCAGATGACAACGGAGTATGCTGATCACTGTGTCGGATTAACGAGACTGATTAATGGGTGATTTCAGCATTTCGTTGCAAATTAGGTGTGTCGGAGTCGGAGTGCGAGACTAACGGGTCTAAATAGCACTGATTAAATCGGTTCCCATCATTTGTGTTGGATAAAGCCGATTGTCGGATAAACAAGTGTCGGATTAACAAGACTTGACTATACATCAATCCTGCCTGGTGTGACCATATCAGCATGCGTATATTAACTCAATATGCTTACTTACTATTCACCTGATGAAGGGGCAAGATGTAGCCATGAAGCATCTATACAAACAATAAAGTTGTTATCCTTAAGTTTCATTTTTTCATGTTCTTCCACCTTCTTAATGCCTATCAAAGACTGCAAATGTGAGGTCCATTGATTGGCTGAATAGGGTATGTATATCTGTAGAACATGTGCAATATTATTTGATGTGGAAAATTAATCCTTTGTCTTTTTTTATTTCAGTATTGTGTGCCAAAAACTTGGGCAAGAAAGACTTTTTCAGTAAGTTCATTTGTCTTCATTTGACACTCCTTGTCTTTGAAAGTGATTGAAGTGAGTGAAGTGCCATAGGTGAAGGGAGATAACTCTCCCAGTCTTCTTGGTCTCTCTTCTCAGTTTCCTGACTGCTATAAATACATGAAATGAATACTTTTTATTGCAATAATATCAAGCTAAGGTAGTATCTTTACAAAGTAACATTTGTAAGCAGACAGCAATATGTTGATAAATTATTAGCATATTTTGTAAATAACAGCTGGCCTCATTTATGTCGCCATTAAGGTTTAACCCTTGTATCTAGATGATTAGACTAACACTTAGTCAATGAAAACATTTCTTAAAAATAATTAATTTTTTGAAAGAACGTTCTCTCCTGCTGTTTCATTATCAAGGAAACTAGACTTGGTTTAGTTTGATCAAGACTTGCCTTGGCTTTTAGTAAAAAAACAATATGTGTGTGTGTGTGTGTGTGTGTGTGTGTGTGTGTGTGTGTGTGTGTGTGTGTGTGTGTGTGTGTGTGTGTGTGTGTGTGTGTGTGTGTGTGTGTGTGTGTGTGTGTGTGTGTGTGTGTGTGTGTGTGTGTGTGTGTGTGTATATATATTCCACAGTCATATGTCGCAGGTGTAGTACCGATGTAGTACTTGTCCTAGTGTTTTGTGTAGCTGTATTTAATATGCTACTGACCAAGTTTTAGATCTTGAACTACATGAAGAAAACAGTTTATTTCTGTAAACATGAAGGTACAATGGGTATTTTAGAGACTTTGAACACTTTTGATAATATTGTAACTTGTAATTGAAGTCTGTTATTATTTTCTTCTATAATGAGGTACATTATTTGTTGGGTTTCAGGATTGCCTGATCCATTTGCCAAGATCAGCGTTGATGGCTCGGGCCAGTGCCATTCAACCGACACCTGCAGGAATACACTAGATCCAAAGTGGAACCAGCATTATGACCTGTGAGTTCTTAGATCACTATCCTTTCTAAAACAGCATACTTAACCTATCTTGTCATTTTTGGTGAAAGATAATCTGCCATATGACAGATTAGCTATAGTTATATGAAAGAATCAGGTGTTCTTTAAGTTCATTTGAGTAGTATTGATTAATAGGTTCTGGTATACAAAAGATCTCTTGTTGACAAATAGCAAGATTTTGTGTAAACCCCTATCAGAAGTAGATAAATAAAAATGAACCATATATAGAGTGTTCCCTCGCTATAGCACCCTTCGATAGAGTGCTGTCCCGCTCATAGCGGACTGTAAGGCATGGCTCCCCAAAGTTATATTACATCTTTAATGAACTCAAATTTTACACTGACACAATGATTTTTCTTCTTCGCAAAAAGCATTAACAGCAGATCACTGCGAGCAAGCAACATTGAAATACCAATCAACAAATCCGAACTGAAGTACTCAATTTAATCCTATTAAAATTGTATTACACTATCTGGTAACCAAAATATGTTCATTGTATATCTGGACTGATGTTTGTAACATATTTTATTAATTTTATTCAAAATTTCATTCAATATTGTCTACATTAGTTTCTCCGAAATCATTTATTTAAAGCAACCACAGTCAGATTTCCGCTATTGACACCTTGAAACGGACAGAGAATGGGTACAAATATCATAAATGTCATCCTTTGACTCATTAAAAGTCATATTTGTTGTAGTTTGATTGTTATACAAATGTATGTCAACAAAGTTTTCATGATCAAGAGCATGTGAGTCTCGGCGGTGGGTGGTCAAATTGTTCCATACGTAAAAAATATCTAGCAATGGCGATCATCTGAACCAAAGTGCTACGCTTATGGTTATTATTATTTTTAATATATATATAGTAAAGCTGCTACTTAAATAACACAATATTGGAATGTATTACTCCTGATAAAATAATAGTTGAAGATAACAATTCTTCTGATCATTGCATCTAAATTCTTCAAATTTATATTATTGGGTAACTTTTAACCATCTCACCGGTAGATTGGGAGAAAATGCTGATTGTTGTTTCCGGCTTAGTTTACAAGACAATACACACAGTAATCTTAATCTCTGCATATAAACCAATGCCTAGCAGAACAAGAAATACAATTTATGTGGTAAATCATCATGTCTACTGATATTTTGTCTCAATAGTTTCAATTTTTTATTGACCAAGTCCGTTCACCTTAATTCGCTAAAGGAATACTGTGTGTTTTTTAAGACGCAATAAATCTTTTTTTACACTATGAATCATGAACAAATATATTGTAATCTTTTTTAAAACTCAGAAACATGCAGCGTAGATCGTGTTAGGTAGGGAGAGCAAGCATGTACTGTTGTGTTGGTCATCTGCTCCCCACGACTCCGCCTTGGCTAAACCGCTGATCGTCTATAACGCTCATCAATTATTTAGACCCCAAAGGTAGCGTTTTAACAAGGGATCACAGTATGTATTTGGCTCCATTGTAATCATTAAGTCATTGATTCAAAGGACAAAGATGTTTGAAGCACTTTTTACATTGTTATCGTGGATATATGAAGGCTATACCTTGATGAATACTTGGATGGTACTACCCCCTAGTTTGTCGGCTAAAACCCGTCCCAACACTCATATAAACTTGTATGTTTTATTACACAAAAGCGAGTGAATGCCATCATGGCAGAGTTTTTCCAACAGATCACCATATTTCTGTGATGTTTACCTCTGACTGGTAGTAAACCAAGCCTACTCACACACTTGCTTCTTAATATATGGAATGGTGGCTTCCTATTCCCTGTTCTGACCATTTGAATACTTTACAACATGCTTGATGAACAACCAGTTACCTCAGTCTATCCCAAATGATGACAAATAGGCACACTGTTATGAATAAGAAATTCGGGACCAGGGCCATGTTCCCACAATGTGATCTGACCACTACGACTATCGTATGCCAGTGTAAAAGCATGAGAGTTACGATCACCTTAGTGCTAAGATATCTTTGTGGAACGGGGACCAGGGCCCCGTTCCACAACGCGATTGTAGCACTAAGGTGATCGTAACTTCCATACTTCAACATAGACTTACGACAGTCGTAGCACTACAATCGCTTTGTCCAACAGGCGGCTGATTTGTATTGTATTCTTAGCACTAAGCCTATGATATACTATAGTGTTATGGTAGGTCGTAGAGCTATCTTGTTCCACTTCAGAACGCGCATTTAGTGAAATGCCACACTTAGTTTGTACTCTGCGGAACTTAATGGAAACAGGATCAGACCAGTGCATCCCCCCTATCTGTGCAAAGGTTGTACCTGTGGGGCTGTCGGTACCCCAGAAAGTTGCCCACGTACTGTTAAGTGGAGTAAATTACATTCCTGTGAATCTGGCTAGGGGATAACAGATGAGGGTCTTCTAAACAGAAATGTGGCATTCTTGCCATCATCTTCATCCAACATTACATGGAAAAGGGTGACATGAAAGAATTGAATGTTGTTTTGGCTTCATACTCAATGGGAGATGATGAGAGTGAATCAGCTAAATGTCATGCAACCACTTGGAACAACACTGCGGACTACAGTACACGAGAGATGGCTTCAATCACTGGCACAATCCTGCACAATAGAGCCAATATGGCCCCTATGAAGCAGTCATTGCCCCTCACGGCATCCGCTTTTATGGGCTAAGGTGATCAGCCTGTTCCTTCTCCTAGCTGGTGCCACAAATAGTCGGGGAATTTAATATTTGCTGTATTCATAATAGATAACATCATGTTTGTATACATGGTGGTGTTCTATCTCCATCTAAATGTTAACTGTTTGGAGAAGCTGTCAGGACAGTGGATTACCAGTGTTAGAATACCAGGGAGGCTTAATGTATTCATGAATATGCTTTGCCAAAATATTTGAAGAAAATATTAGATCTAGCAATTGGTTGTCACAGGGTGAAATGTTATATATATATAAAACCGTAAACTAAGAATTCGAAGCGTTCTAGGTTTCCCTGGTGAAAGAGACCTCTGTTCAGATGAATAGCTCAATGTGTTAGGTTGTACATACAGTGTCAGGGGTATTTTCACAGTTTCACTTGATAGGTTGGCTAGGTTGAAAGATATAATCTATTGACGATACTCAGGTGTCAGTAAGACACATCCACTTGTGAGGGCAACACTTCATAATATTTTCATTTTCAAAGTAAATATAACAAAAACTGTTGATTTTTACCAGGAGATGACCTCAAATATGATAAAACAATACTCAATACATATCTTGTCAGAGGTAGAATATTGAGCACTTGTCTAAAGATATCTACTCAACGTTAAAAGAATTCTTTGGGCAACTTGAAGTTTCTTAATCTAAGGGTGAGAATTGTTTTATTTCTTGGTTAATGGATCTGCCATCCTAAAACTAAAAACGTGGGAAGAAATAAAAAGTCCACTCCACCAATCTCTTAAATAACTCCTGACAAGCGGAAAAAAGACGAAAGAAAAAATGCTTTGATTATCACATAAGCAAAAACAGAACTTGTAAGTTGCAAATGTTGATGGTAAGAGGCGACAGTGTTGATCGGATGTTCAGGCTTGCTGATTTGGTTGACTGCGGGTCATCATACCCCCATGGTGTGGAACGTTGCTCATAATATCAATCACTGGATTGTCTAGCCCAGACTGGAATATTTACAGACTGTCATCAACAAGCTGGAATATTGCTGAAAACACAAAAATGCTGGATAAAACAAAAAAACTCGAAACCAGGACTCTTTAATGTGTGACCTCATATATAGAATTCTTGGTTAGGTCCCCAGCAACGTATGCTTGTCACATTGTGAATTGGTTGACAGTGTCAACCTGTCCAGATGACATGGATCGTTGCTCATAATATCAATCACTGGTTTGTCCAGACTTTATAATGTCCAATCACAACAAATATTTTACCAGCACTTTTGTTTGGGCAATCATGAAGTATTCATGTACAGCTTGATTACTCACACAAATACATAAGGCATCACCTATTGCTGACATAGCATAAAAGATTGGTCTGAATTGAATCCTTACAGGAGCCTTATGTGTCACTGTTCCATGAATGTGCTTAATGTTGCTTTGAACAATACGTCAGTTGTATCATGGGGTATCACCAAGATCACATTTGTGGCCCAAGTTGCAGAATGTTAAGTTACTTTAAAAGAAAGATCTATGAATTTTTTCTTCACAAATGAGAAACATTGTTGATTGTTCATGGCAGACAAGAAGGTGCAGCCTTTGGGCAGAAATGGCAAAAAGTTGGTATTTTTGCCTAATGTGTCTCGAACTCAACTGAACTGTGTTTGTTGCAGATACATTGGACCGAAGGATTCCATCACAATCAGTGTATGGAATCACAAGAAGATCCACAAGAAGCAGGGTGCAGGCTTCCTCGGCTGCGTGCGCATCATGTCCAATGTCATCCAGCAGCTCAAGGACACAGGCTGTAAGTTCACACCATAGTCCTACACACACACATTTACACACAAACATACCATCTGCCATTAATCTCGAACAGTGCCATTCACATTGGGATTCAGTGAACAGGGATAATTGTTGTCGATACACCGATTGTTTGGGTTTGGTTGTGGTGGTCATTGGGATACGATGACATGCATTAACCAAGTCAGCGAGACACGCACACGCACACGCACACGCACACGCACACGATCTTGTTATGTTGTTGTTGTTCATGTCATAAGAGGTGACTAAAGGGATCGGGTGGTCAGGCTTGCTGACTTGGTTGATGCATGTCATCGTATCCCAATTGCTTGGACTGGATTATTTACAGACCGCAATCATATAGATCGAATATTGCTGAGTGCGGCGTCAAACAAACAACATTATCAGCAACATTAAGTGCCAGTAGTTTGCATGGAGTAGACTTGTTTATTTATAGGTTGCTGTGATAACGCTTGCATACTGTTGCCTGCCATGTAATACATCCACTGTCTCCTTACTGATAGTGACACATTTAACATGGGCACTGGAGAATTGACAAGTGTCTACCAGTTGTTCCACGGACTGGTGTACATGTTAATGCAGTCAGTACAAGTGCCTGTGAACACCTCAAGGACACCTGTCAGTAGCTTAAGATCATCTAGCAGGATGAGTTGGGGTTTGTGTGATCAGACAGCTGCTTGGAAGATTATGGTAGGCCACTGCTCAGACCCATACAAATGAAATGTCGCATGTCATTATATGTACCTGTCAAGGACATGGCTAGGACCATAGATAGACCTGTCTGGCTGTCATATCTGATAGTTTCATGTGCGATTGGAAACTGTCAGATATATTAGGTTGAAGCGGAAGACCCGAAGAACCTCAGGACCTCCCTTAATCTCTAGCAGTCATTCCCTACCCCACTCACTCACTCACAGATGATATAGCGGAAGACCCGAAGAACCTCGGGACCTCACCTCACCTCACCTCACCTCACCTCACCTCACCTCACCTCACCTCACCTCACAGATGATATAGCAGAAGGACCTCACCTCACCTCACCTCACCTCACCTCACCTCACCTCATTCTCACTCTCACAGATGATATAGCAGAAGACCCGAAGGACCTCCATTCCGCTCCGCTCCACTCCACTCCACTCCACTCCACTCCACTCCACTCCACTTCACTTGATCACTCCACCACTCACTCACTCACTCTCACTCACTCACTCACTCACTCACTCACTCACTCACTCACTCACTCCGCTCCGCTCCGCTCCACTCCACTCCACTCCACTCCACTCCACTCCACTCCACTCCACTCCACTCCACTCCACTCCACTTGAAAGTAAGGGCTGTGTAATAAACACTTTTTTGTATATGAAACAGCTTCAATTTCAAAATGTCCCAATATAGCCAAACAAAAGGAAATATTATTGTATTTAAACTTAACTTCTTGACAGAAAGATGGAGCACTTGGACGGCTTGGCAAGTGGGGGAGTGCCTGATATATTCCCCGCATTCACATCAAGTGTTGACCTAGCTGTGTCAGGCAATGTTTATCCAACACACTGAGAACAAGTTCTAGTTTACCTGTTGGCATTATGTCTTTTGGGGATTGCTCATTATATTTCAAGTATTTTACTTCTTGACTTGAAATATTCAATGTTGTGCAGCGAGAGAAACTAACCTTTTTAGCCCACTAGTCCTTGTAATGATACCATATAGCAAAACTCTTAAAAAGGGCAATTTCTACTAGTCCTTAGGATACCTTAACTATTGGGCAGTTTGGCAAGGACTATAGGACTAGTGCCAATTTCTGATGCTGTTATGAAATGTTTCATATTGACCTCCACAGATGTTCATACTTACAACATTTGCTTGCTGGTTTTCAATGTCTGTTTTGGTTAAAACATCAAAACAATATATAAGATTACAATTAACCCAGTGTAAACCAGTGTGCCATTGTGTACGCCATAAGCATGCTAGGGACCTAGCTGCACTGTTTGTGTCCTATCCCTTCGGTATACACAGCTCACCCAGTGACTCCCACCATTAGCCCCACTGAGTACTGGCTACAAACTTCTGGTACCCCAGCACTGTCGCACCTTATTGTGTAGCATGCAGGCAGTTTCAGTGCACTAGCCACTCCTAGCTTCTCAACAGTATGTTGGTAATGGATTATTCAGTCGGGAAATTTAAGACTCTAGTTCAAGGCTGGTGTCATAAACATACTTTCTGTCTAGTATGCTCTGGTAATTATTTCCAATAATCAGTTGAAAAGAATGATGGCTAAATGATTATTACAGTCTGCGACTTTAGCTACTAATCTGAAGCCGGAGACAAGTCAAATCAGATTCATCTTATTAGCTCAGCTGATATAGTCCATATAATAAGAACCAAATTTTTCAGAAAATTGTACAGATATTTTTTTTTGCGCAATCTGGTACTCATGTATTAAATGAGAATTATCGGGCTGTACCAAACCTTTTTGAGTCTGCTGGCCTGAAATTATCTTTGAACAGATTTTTTGAACAACTATTAGCTGAACTTACTGAGCTGAAGAAATATGACACTTGAAATTTGTGGGTAAAGTTGCACTGTATTATCCCTTACCAGCATGTTACAAGAATTCTTGAAAACTGTACTATGTTGAACATTTCATAATTACATGAGGATTCTGTTCAGTAGGAGTCCAAACTGTATGTTGTTTAAGATAGTTGTGCCAATTTGTACATGGTTGTTGTTATGTACAGAATACAGTGGACACATTAGCATTAAGATACATTGTATTTGCACATAGTCATGCAGCATTACGCTGTAGAGAGCCTCATCTGTTGTATCTGCTGATTGTCTGTGAAGGTAGAGCTCCTCATAGTAAGGCAAAATAACAGGCAGGGGATTATTTTGTGGCAAGGGCAATCAAGTCAATTATCTGCAAGACAATCCTGAAGAGGTACAGTTAATTCTAGAGGTAAAAGGTAGCAAGCAGCAGTCATTGTGCTACCCTAGAAATGTCTGCCTATCAAATCCTAATACACATGGTCACAGTCCAGCAAAGAATCTCTGATGCAGTATTTCAACTTAATTTTTGCATCTGTTAAATTAAATATAATACTGAATTTGTAAGATGCCCTTGTGAAATGTATGCATACCTTACATTGAATGTGGAATTTCAATATTTAAGAAATGTTCATTTACTAATCATGCTAATGAAGCGATATATATGAAGTAAAGATTTCATTTGGTAAATTACTTACAGACACAAACATTTTCTTTAATTGGTTTGGAATTTTGACATCTGGAGAACATGAGGATTTTATGACTGCTGAAAGTGATTCTCCATTATTTGGGAGTTTGATTTTTGTACTTTCAATAAAACAAGGAGAGCTTGTGCAGCTTGTGCTAATCTATCTTTACTCAACTTAAATAGAAATATTTAACAAGTAGCTTTTTAAATGTCACTGGTCTGAATCTGGATTAGCAAAATGTGGCAAACATTGCTAGAAACGTTACCTTGACAAAGCATGCAAGAGAAAACGTAACCTTTAGGTAAGCATTTGCTTAAATGAGCCACAACCCTGAATTTTCTCGAACCTACACACAGGTAAATACTCACAGGAACAGTGCCCCCTCAATATAGTGCTTAAAGGGTAATCAACATCATCAGGACTCCTGGCCCTGTATTGACTCAACTTAAAACAAAGCACACTGGATTATCTTATCATCCCTCTCTTCATTAGCAGCCTGACATATTTGTTTATAATTGGCTCTAATGGTTAAGATAGGTGCTATAGCGAAGAGCAAAGGTAGTTGGTTCCAGCTCACAGGCTGTTTGTAACGTGATCTGCAGCTATATGCAGCTCCCAGTATGATCTCCCTTAGTCAGTAGCACAGGAAACCCCTCATCTCGTGGCTAGCTGGCTTGCTTGGGTACAGCGTAGATTCATACATACATACATACTGTTACATACATCAGGAGTATCACACAGTGTGTTGTACCAGCAACCTGGTCGGAGCGACGTACTGCCTACCGACCTGCTGGCATGCTCTCACTACAAAAGGAATTAGTACATGTCTACAACTAGAGTGAATGATTACGGTTACACAGCCCCAGAATATGGCCATAATACATTTTCGCCGGCGCATGAGCACACCTGCCGTTCATGTTTCAGTTCAAAGATTGGACTTGACGCGGCAGAGTCAAGATGACAGCGAGACTGTCCGCGGACAGATTGTCATCAGTCTCATCTCGCGGGACCGTGGAGGTTCGGGGCCCATGAACACGGATGCCACCGGGATACCTCCATCAATACCTTACGATCCCAACGAACTTCCCGAAGGGTATGTACAGTTTTTGTCTTTACGCCTGTCTTCATCAAATGTTTGATTAATCATCAGGACATTCTCATGTAACATACATATCGTCCACAAATTAAGAGGTGTGGCCTTATATTAATCTTGGGCCCCTGACTCCTTGAGATGATATTTTGACATTGTCTTCACTAAATGTGTGTAAGTTACAGGAACAGATCTAGACACATGATGATTAAGTATCAAGGGCCAGGAACTTGGTAACAGTCAGAGGTGACTCTCATAATATGTGGGACACAGCTCTCATACTTGAGAGCTCAAAACAAATTTGAAGTTGAATCATTGGACTCATCATTGAGTACAGCCATGGAGCAAGGCTATCCGTGATGTACTCGGTGATGTAAGAGCACCAGTTGTTTTTGTTGATTACATGTGGTAAACAAGAATGGCCTTATGGATAAGTTGTGCTGGGTCCCCACACTGTGCTGATGGAGCCCTGTAGCATCTGTGGAACTATGTAGCATGGTGCCATTCCACTCGGTGGCGACAGCCAGAGATCACTCATTTCGTGGAATATGTGCAACCTATTTCCAGCATAGAGAAAAACTGTCATTGACAGGGTGTTTTGACATTCTGCCAGTCTTGAGTCAGCCATATTGCTGTGTGTGTTGAATAACAGTATCCAGGTATCTTCAGTGTGATACAGAATCCAATGAAACTCCTAAATATATCCTTCGTGAATGAGGTTAAGATGTCACTGGTAGATCGATTAGGGCAATGTCGCTGAAACCTGTCTAACAATGTAACCTTGTCAGGGTAGAGAACTGGTAAAAGTGATCTCTTCTCACGGAAACATAACTAGCTTGTGCGTGCTTCATCAATATAATGTCTACCAAATGAGATACACAACATGATTATGTGGCCATATCCCTACTGCCCCAGTTATGGCAGACGTTATGTTACACACAGGTTGTTGTGTTTCTGAAGTTGACAAGGGCCCCGTTCCACAAAGCGATCTTAGCGCTACGATGGTCGTAAGCCTATGTTAAAGTATGGGAGTTATGATCACCTAAGGATTAAGATCACTTTGGGGGATGATGAGAACACTGTAAATATGTTTGCACTTCATAAATGCAAAAACAAATGAAAGTCAATTCTTACAAATAGATACACAACATGATTATGTGGCCATATCCCTACTGCCCCAGTTATGGCAGACGTTATGTTACACACAGGTTGTTGTGTTTCTGAAGTTGACAAGGGCCCCGTTCCACAAAGCGATCTTAGCGCTACGATGGTCGTAAGCCTATGTTAAAGTATGGGAGTTATGATCACCTAAGGATTAAGATCACTTTGGGGGATGATGAGAACACTGTAAATATGTTTGCACTTCATAAATGCAAAAACAAATGAAAGTCAATTCTTACAAATAGATATGTCAACAATAACCTCACAGATAGCGTGTTTAATGATAACATAAAAATAACGGTAGATAACAAGAAGAAATTAGTCGCATCATGCAACACAAACTTCGCCCATTCTATCAGACAGTCAGGAGACAGTAGGCCATGTTGTAAACATGATTGCAGCAAATATTGCCTGGTCAACCACTTGGTCAGCATGCAATTTATTCATAAGAATTTGAACAAATAAGAAAACTTCATGTTTTTTACTAAGTCATTTTATATGTTTGAGTGTCATTTTTAATGCTGAATTTCAAGAAAATGCTTCTAGCAGGTGCAGTCACTGAATTATCATACAATACAGCTGAATTTTCATTACTAGAGATAAGGAACTTTAAGATAACACTTTTCTCATGTTTTCATCTTAGGTACTCTGTATTTACAACACTGTGGATATAATTAGTAGAATGTAGCGAAGCATTGGCTCTGACAAACCCAGTGTTCATCCCTGGGCAGTGACATTTGATGTTGATCACATGAACAGGCCAGATTTATGTATATGTTGTATCACATAGGAAATAAGTATTTGACAAAAATTATATTCTTGTTCCTAAAAACACTTCAGGGACTGGCATTCTAGATAGGAGACAAGACCAATCTCACACTCCCTATCCCTAGGATAAATGACCAGTCCCTAATATTTTCTACTAAAAAGCATTATTTGTATAATTTCTTCCAACTCTTTTCATGCGAAGATTTTTTAATATAACATTTTATAGAGACATCATACATACATATTGATTTCCATAAAGAAGATAGTTATAAAAAGATAGGAAAGATTACAGTGTGAATTATACAGTTAATAGATTGTTGAGATTTAAGTTTGAAAGAATAATATTGAAAGACACCAACAGTTTCAACAGTTAGATTTATCAGTTGTGTCAGATATCAGCTTTCTCCAGTTCCGCCATATGCTGAGGGATTAACATCATTTACTAACTAGATGAATCAGTTGTTTAAACTAACGGAAATAAAGATAAGATAAGAATTGCAAGAAAGTGCAGAAAAAAGGGCCCGACAGTGAATGTTGGTGAGTCAGAGAGAGGTACCCTTGATTACCAGTATCAGATATTGAGGATGTGATAGAGGAGTGAGATAACAGCCTGTCTGGGATGTACAGGGGATAGTGTTGCTGAGCAGACTCATATCCCCCATAGTGATGTGTAGTAATACTTCATATCTGGGCTGTGGCTGTGGTCTATCAAAGCATCATCACTTGTTTCACATCATCAGTGTCTTTGCAGGTTCATGCAGGCTTGATAAGCCATACAACAGATTAGTACCCGGTAATGAGAATTATCTCTTGGATTTTCATTGATGCTTTGCACATTTGGTGTTCATGATAGGCTGGGTTTTTTATTGTTTAGTTGTATCTACATGCAGGTGACAACGCAAGTGACAAATCAACATTATCTGTACATCAACATATATCTGTACATCAACATATATCTTGAACATTTCTCTAACTATCGTTAGGTGCAAGTAATGTATTTGTGCACCTCATGGCACAACTTGGCAGGGATTTCAACACTTGGATGTTGACAGTACTTTAGTTTCTGCAGGTGATGGATGTTACTATAAATTCATCAAGTGTTCCTTGGTATGGTTTATGACCATGGTAGATTTAAGAATATATAGTTAGTCTCATTGTACTTAACAATTAATATTCAGATGTTTTAGAGATCATTATGGACATGAAAAAAGGTGTCCCCACTTCACCCCCAAATTTTGATCAATTTGAAATTCTGAAGGGAGCGCTCTTGTCATGTTTAACATTATTCAGTATTTGTGAGTGCATGTTTTGGAGTTCAAATGTGGTTACAATCAAATCATTCGCCCGATTATTGTTCGAGGTTTGTCAGCACCAAACTCATGCTCATGGGGTTTCACCAAAGTGGTAAACATGTGAGGCCAGCATCACTTCGGGCTTTCCTCCCACATTCAGCTGACACACCACAATATCACTGTTCAAGGCGACGTTTAAACAGAAGTAGAAACTAACAATTTTTAGTTCACGAGTCCTTGTAATGATAGCAAAACCCTGAAAAAGGGCAAATTTCCACTAGTTCTTATGATGCCTTAACTATTAGGCAGTTTGGCAAGGACTACAGGATGAGTGCTAATTTCTAACGCTGGTTAAAATCCAACTCACTACAATCGAAACAAACTCTCATTGTTTTCGGGATACTTTATTGTTTTATTAGAGTGGACTTAATTCAAACACAGTTTACCATCCTGTCATTGGTAAATTGCATTGTCCGTCGTTTAAAAATTCACCAATGGTGTGGCCTAGAACAAACTGTATTGTGATGACACTACTGCATTGCCAAGATGTTACTTTGAGATTTATGTTGTTATCATGGTGGGGATGGAGATTTCAGGGCGAAGTTACTGATATGTGGTGATGTTTTGGCAATGTTTTTGTGATGTTATTATAATATTATAGTGTGACATTATCTCATTATATTATTTGTGGTGCTGTTGCTATGATGCTTATGGGGATGTTATTGTGATGTGATGTAGTGATGTAGTGATGTTAAGTATTGGGACTGTTATGTTTATGGGAATGTTATTGTGATGTTAAGTATTGGGACTGTTACGTTTATGGGGATGTTATTGTGATGTTATGTAGTGATGTGAGGTTTTGGGACTGTTACGTTTATGGGGATGTGGCTGTAATGTTACTGCAGCAATATGGTGATGCTGTACTGCTGTGACGGCCTCCTTACACATGTAGATATCCTAGTTCTTGCTCTTCTTCCATGTTGTCAAGCACATAAACTCCAGTTTAGTGTCCCTATGGTCTCACTCAAAGCATTCGGCAACAGAAATTTTGCTCACACTGCATCTGTGCTCTGGAATTCCCTTCCAGTGGAAATTAGGCAATCTCCAACTCTGGACACTTTCAAGACAAAACTGAAGACTTATCTCTTTAGATGTGTCTATGACCCTGTGTGAGGCGCTATGAGCGACTACGTAGACGGAAATGGCGCTGAAGAAATGGACTTTATTATTATTATTATTATTGTGTGTTGACTGACCTCTCCCAGCAGCTGCAATGTTGGTCCTCTCACTGGGCCATGTACAGTGCTCTTCTTCAACAGTGTTCAAGGCTTTTCTTAAATGAGATATCTGACCACAAACACTGGGGAACTCAAAGGTAACGATGTATTACAGAACTAATTGACATGGGCAGGTACATTTTCCATATGCTTGCCTTCTGCTGCAAACCTGGCTTAGCAAATGTCGACACACATTTCACTTCACATGTTTTGATCCCATAGTGAAGATTCCTGGAGAGAGATCAAGACAGATATTGGCATCCCCCCAAGAAAGCATTTGTAGCAATAATTCCATCATAAACTAGCAACACGAGGTGAGGAGTCACATCTGATTAGAATTAAAAAGTACGTAAAACTGCACAGTATGATGTTTGAAGGCATATCCCTCTGGAGTCCCGAGCAGCAGCTGTACCGAGAAGCCACATCAAACGAGGGATTCGTTAGTCTGGGGCTGTGTGTGCTTTTAATTAACACTTGACGGACTAAAGGAGAGGGGAGATGGGTA